CGCACACCAAAGGACCTCAGTCTCCTCAACAAGTGGAGGCAACTCTGGCCCTTCTTGTACAGGGCATCAGTTTTTTCAGTCCAATCCATTTTGTTGTTGAGGTGGACGCCCAGGTATTTAAAGGTGTCCACAATCTCAATGACTGAGCCCTGAAAGCTCACCGGAGTGAGTGCTGGTGATTTCCACCTGGGATCAATCACCATCTCTTTAGTCTTACTGGTGTTCAGGACCAGTTGATTTCCTCACACCACTCCACAAAGTCAGTAACAACCCCCCTGTATTCCCCCTCGTCCCCCCCAGATACACATCCAACAATGGCAGTGTCGTCCAAGAACCTTTGTAGATGACACTGGTGGGAGCTGTACTTGAAGTCCGATGTGTAGAGGGTGAACTGAAAGGGGCAAAGCACCATCCCCTGGGGCGCCCCTGTGCTGCAGACCACCACGTCCGACACACAGAAGCCTGACAAACTGAGGTCTGTTTGTGAGGTAGTTAATGGTCCATGCGGACAGGTGTTGGTCCACATCTGCCCCCTCCAACTTCCTCCTCAGCAGTGACGGCTGGATTGTGTTGAAAGCACTGGAGAAGTTAAAGAACATGACCCTCACCATGCTTCGGGGGGACTCCAGATGAGATAGGGCTTGATGCAGCATGTAGATAATGTCATCTGCCACGACCCCAGGACGGTATGCAAACTGCAGCGGGTCCAGTGCCAAGCTCACCTGGGCACGGAGGTGGCCGAGGACAATCCTCTCCATGATCTTCATCAGGTGGGAGGCCAGGGCAACGGATCTGTAATGGTTCAGCTCTTTAGGATGAGGTATTTTGGGAACCGGGACAACACAGGATGTCTTCCATAGGGCTGGGACTCTCTCCAGGCTAAGACTCAGGTTAAACATGTACAGGACCATCTCACTGAGCTCGTGTGCACACTCCGAGGACCCTGGGGCTGATGTGGTCAGGGCCTGTGGCCTTCCTGGCCTTAATCCTCCTTAACTCCTTCCTGACCTGGTCTGCCATGAGGCGGAGGGGCTGGTGGGTGGTGACTGCTCAGGAGCTGTGAGATATTGAGAAACCCTCGTGACAGTGGGAGGAGGGGCAAGGTCTAGCTGAGGTGTGAGCAGCTGCGGCTGCAGGGAGACAACTGACCTGGAGAAGTAAGTCGTGGGGGCTGGCAGGGTGGGGGCTGAGGACTGGGTAGAGTCAAATCTATTAAAAAAACAGATTCAGTTCATTTGCCCAGGCCTTGTCCCCCGCAACCTGGTGACCATCTCCACTTTTACCATGACCCGAGATGTGTTTCAGGCCTCTCCACATCTCAGGCACATTGTTATTCTCCATGCTCTGCTCCAGCTTCTTCCTGTAGCTAGCCTTGCACCTCCGGATCATGTACTTTAGTTCCCGCTGCACCCTGCTCAGCTCCTCCTTGTCCCCATGAGAGGAAAGCCCCGAAGAGAGGATTTGGACTGCATTAGTTTTAGCTTGTTGTACCTATACTGCCAACTGCAGTGGAAGTAAAAGTAGCAATACTACAGTGTAAAATAGTCTGTCACAAGTGAAGGTCTTGCATTTTAAATATTGCTTAAATATAAAAGTATCAGAATCAAAATAAACCTAAAGTACCAAAAGTACAAGTACTCGTTATGCAGAATGGTACAGTTCACATTAATGTATATCATATTACTGGATTATAATTACTGATGCATTATTGTGAACATCTTATTTAATGTTGCAGCTGGAAAAGGTAGAGCTCATTTTAACTACTTTACATGTTTATAATTTTAAGTACTTTACATACTGCTGTGGAACTTTTGAACTTCCCACCAGGGATCAATAAAGTCTTGTGATTGTACTTCAT